CAATTTACAAGTCTATATATATATATATACTCATATAGTAATGTCATTTTTTTTCTTTTATATATCACTAACTTTATAATGAATATTATTTTGTACTCAGTTCGTGGCTATGCTGCATCATCTAATTAAGGTTGATAACTTTATGGAAACACACTGCAATTTTAATTAGACGCATAAAAATATGCCAAAAACATTAGGAAAAAACTACACACGAGCTTTTTTAGCACCTTATAATAGAAGAGGAAACGGATTAGTTTAAATTAGATTTGTGCTGATTTTTTATCTAACGTGGTAAAATTTAATCGGATCGGAATTGGAATGGATTTTTCTATTTCATTTTAATATTAACCGAACCAATCCGCCAATAACTAAAATAGTTTAGATTAAATAATCGAATTTATCATTTAAAAATAAAAATTTTAAAAAAATCAATGGTTGAAAAAAAAAATTAAGTTAATGTTATTTCATTATCATGCAGAATCAGTAATTGTAATAAACTTACACTAACTTTAACGCTAAAAAAAAAAAAGAGAGGAGGGAATAAAACTATATAACTAAAAATATAAGTTGTGGGTTGTTAATCGAGGTATTATAATACCAATATTTATATATTAAACATGAATAATTATTTTGCATAAGAATGTTATAATTATTTGTGAATTAAATTTTAATATTTTAAAATAAATTATTAATAAATGGTAGAAGTTAACACGTCTTTATTAATTATTAAAATATTAACTATCTACAAGAAAACGCTGAATAAGCGACGGAAAATAAGCGTCGGCTAATAGCTGACGCAAATCCAGTCATGCATTCATTAGAGGCAACCATTTTCGAATCACGCCAGACACAAGGTTTGTCGCGTCGAGTGCAATTTGAGATGGCAAACTTTAGATGAGTCACGCCAGGCGTGAGGAGAGCCACGCTAGGCGTGATATTAGATAGTGGCTCTGTATGGAATTTTACTGATATGGCGCCGAGTGCAGGGTGGGTGCGCCGGGCATGAAGACTCCTGTGAGTCTCTGTCTAAATGATGCCGGACGAGGATGAGCCTTAGAACTCTCAGGTTGGATTTAGACTTGCGCCCGACGTGGGTATGCTTGGGGATTTTGAATTAAGAATGATGCTTTTGCATGTCTAAAGTTAGAGATTTGATCATGTATGTATGATATATGATGTATGGTGATGTATGATTCATATGTATGCTTGGTAATGATATATATGAATGTTTAAAACATGATTTGGTTTGTACTTTCATATGAGAATGATATTGATCATGATAGTGGATTGACCATGTATGATGTATGATGCATTATTACACGTGATGCCTTATGGCATGTGTCTATCCTAGGACTTGAGGAGAGGGAAAATTTTTTTCAAACTGGAAGAGCTCACATAGAGTCTCTTGAGAGTGGTGCTTGGATAGGCCACTGGTTTTGGGTGAGAGTGGTGCTTGGATAGGCCACTGGTTTTAGGTGAGAGTGGTGCTTGGATAGGCCACTAGTTTGGGCAAGTCTCCTCTAAGTCCTTAGCTAGTGTTGGAGAGAGGTATGAGGTCGAGAGTTATTCCCTTAACCAAGTACTGGGGAAGGTACGTGGTTCCTTGCGAATAGTCGGTGGGCGAACTCCACAAGTGACTTGGTAATGCATGCCAAGGTGATCGGTGTCGTACCCGATCAAATAAAATACGAAATTTGTAGTACTAAGAAGTGACTCCTAGGTCGTCTCTCAAGGAGCGACAATACCAATCCGAGGTTCATGAAATACAAACAAACACAGAGTATGCGGGGGTTTTCAGATTCAAATGAACAATACGTCAATAGTAATCAATAAAACAATACACTTTCCAACTCAGTTATCACACACACATCATTGGTTCAAAATATTATCTTCAGTCGTTTTAACCCTTGGTTCAATTTCTAGTAATCACTAAACGTCATTACTCTTGTTTTAAACGCATACAAATGAAGCATTAACATACATTCATTTCTCTGTTTTATAGGATTAAGCAAACCATGAACAGAACATTCAACCCAGATGAACAAATACCATTAAGCATGGAAAATAGAAGGGTTAGAACACGAAGATGCAGTGAAATAAACAGACCTCAATGAGCACTAAACTGAGTCAGAAAGTGTTACAAGTTTAGCCTTCCATGGAGGAAGACAAAAAAGAAAACGAAAAACTCAAAGGAAGAAAATGGAAGGGTTTAAATTCTTAATACAACCAGAGAAGAAAGAATGGAAGAAAAATGTGATGAATAGCTCTAGAACAAAGAAAATGTCCAGAAGAAAGAAGAGAACGTGGTCACATCAAGTTTGCCTCCCAGTGGTGGCTGCATGGTCAGCCCTCAGACCTAAAAGACACATGGTCAAAACCCTAAAACGAAGTGGGCCTCCTTCCCATCTTTCTGGCCCAAAAAAAGACTAAAACAAGGTAAACAAAAATGTAATTATGTGGTTGATGTGGCAAGACATGGCGCTTACATGGCACTTTATCTCTTGAAGTCCAAAAATAATATCCAAGCCCGAGAATGCTCCACAATTAACCTGAAAATAATTGATAAGCAAAAATTAGACCAAGTGAATCAGAATTAATTAAAATTCGAACTACTGGCCCAATGAAGCCCAAACAATGAAACTGTACAACTAATAAGAGATTAAGCCCAAATCAACAATTAAAATAATTACAAAAAGATAAATAAATAAGGGAAAATAATGACTCATCAAATTCCCCCACACTTAGCCTTTTGCACTCCTGGGCAAAATCATGAAGTAGAGCAATGGATAAATCCAGAACAACAAAGAGAGCCACATGGAGAAGGACAAAAAAAAAATAGCAACACACAAACAACAGAGTTACATACTCCTCATTGAATCCTGAGAAAAGAGAGGAATAAACAACATGCAACACACAAAGAGCCAAAGAAACAAGATGCCTATGAACATCATCCAGGTATTTCTAAACATGGCAAGAAAATCAGTCAGTTCAAGAGGTGACTCAAAAGCAACAGAACCTCACAAGATATGCACTGTATCACTGAATCTCTCAAGTGTCTAGGCTACTGTATACTCTCGGAGCACTCATGAAAAATAAGCAACAAATAGACTTGGAAAGCCTCTAAAATCAACACCCAACACACATGCATATAAGGATCATGAAAAGGTCTTTTCAAGGTTGTAATGAAGCCAAGGACAAGTTAGAGGGTAATATATGGAAACATGATATTTATTTTTGTATACATAACTTATTGTAAAATATTAAAATTTATGTAGCATACTACTTCTAGACTTTGGATCTAATGCACGGGCTAACATGCTAGATAAGAATAAATGAAAAGTTTGTGTAACATTTTAGTCCAAACATTAAGCCTTTTTTATTCATAAATTCTAAATCTTTATAAGCTACAAAAATAAATAAATAAATGATACTACTTCTGGACTTTGGATCTAATTATAAAAAAATTGATTTTTTAATTATAAGCAATAATTAATTAATAACTTTTAAATTTATTTAGGAAAAAAAAATCTTTTATACATTCAACTTATTATTAACTTTATTTTCTATATATTATATTATTTTTTTATGTAATACGTACATGTTGTAATATTGTTGTAGCATATTGCGTATGCTATCTTTAGCTAATAAAATTATTACTAGCCTTTAAAAAAAAAGAAAACTTATTTCTATTCATTAAATTATGAATATTGATATTAAATATAACAATCACCTAAAGTAAATTATACTTTGGAATAAGATTTGAATTTATAATAGAATTAATTAAAAATAATTCATTTAATTACTTTTTTTGGTGTTGATGATTTGTACTATATTAATTATAATTAAATTAAATTTTCAACACCAAAATTCATAATCCAATTCAAATTTATTGAATTTACATTTTTTTTAATCCAAAATTTTCGATTTAGATCAATTTGGATTCATCTATTTTCTTCTTTTTTATTTTTTATTTTTGAGTGAACTAGATCTGTGATCACTCAATGATTTTCTAATTTAATTACGTTAAATGAATAAGGATGATGACAATAATAATTTAAAAATAACGAAAATATAATTATATTAGAATATATCAGCATACAAGCTTTTGAGATTTTCTTTTCTGAAAATAAAAACATTTTAAGAGTTTTTACTAGTAAAATAACTCTAAAACACTTTTATAAGTTTGAACCAAAAAAAAAAATACACAGAATGTTAAAAAAAATACAAAAAAAAAAAATAGATCCAATCCACATTGTTTCTTTAGGCCCACGATTATAGAATAATGTATAAGTCTGTGATTAGAGGGACAGACAAACATCTATTTATTTTCTTGCCTTATATATGTTTTAAATTTTGTAAAAATAATTTTTCTTTTGTTTTTCATATTTTGAAAATTTATAAATATTATTCTTGATATGGTAAAATAAGTAAATTTTAGATTTAGCCTTTGTACAATATTCTTTTTATTTATTTTTACTCTTTTTAAATTTAAAATTGTTATTTTTGTTTCTATCAATGAATTTAAGATAGATAAATAACATTTATTTTAATGACTTACAAAAAAAACTTTAGGTGTGTCACATATTAGCTTGAGTACCACTAATAATTATAACTAACATATAGAATGATCATATAACTTTTTAATAAATAAATAAGTAGTTAAAGATTATTATATAATAATAAAAATTAAAAATAATAATTTTAAATTTTAAAAGGATAAAAACAAAAAAAAACTAAAGATTTTATAAAAATCAAAATCAAAATCAAATTTTGTAGAAATTAAAAACATGTTTAAACATATTTTCTTACACAAAATACTATTTTTGTAACATGAGCCAAATAGTTTTTAGGCCCATAATATATATACACTAAAAATTTTACTAGAATTAAAATCAAAATCAATTCATTTTGCAATTCCTAAACATGTTATAATATTTAGAATTTAAATCTTACAGATAAAAAAATAATTAAATAAAAAACTATACTAAAAATTATCAATCGGATTTTTTTATTTATTTATAAAAATTAGTCGCGACATACTTTACATACATCATGATAGAAATTAGTCGTGAAGATATTTTACAGCGTGATTAAAATAAAATAGATTAAATGTATGGATCCGTATATCAAACTAATTTAACTAACGAATGTCCTACACTAATCCATTCTGACTCGATTAAATAGACCCATTTTTCTTTTTTATGAATTGCATCTATATACAACAATTTACAAGTCAAACAATTCAACTATTATCAAAAGAAAAAAAACAGCTTCATTATAACTTAATTTTTATACACTTTCGGAGTAATTTACGTTATTAATTTATTAAAATTTCCCTAGATATAATTTTTAAATTAATTATTAAAAAAACAATAATCTTCCTAGTTCCTATACGTGGTCTTCGGCGATTAAGAAACAGTATAAAAACATTATACTGTGAATATATTTTATGTAAATTTAATATAACATATGCTATCTCTGTTTTTTTTAGTTGTTATATAGTAATTACGTTATTTATTGAATATTAAAACTTATCTATTTTGATCCCTTGTTAAACCTTCAAATCATTGATGTTCGACCGATTAATGAAAACGAGTTCTTAAAAGTTCAGAAAAAGATTAAAATATAAAAACTGAAAGACAATAAACTTAAAATCCTTTAACAGTAAATTTAGGGTCTTGCACCAATAATCTAGTCACCGGCTAAAAAATTGCTACAAATTAGTAAGTTCATTTGTTAAAATCCTTTATATTAGTTAAAAAAATCTATAACTGAAATTACCAGCTAAGAACACACATTATTTCATATTAAAAATCAATTATAAATCCATAATAAACTAATTAATTAATATACAATATTAAAGTTTTTACACTAAATTTGTCTGAGTAGTTGTGAGTTGTGACCCATTTGAGGTTCGGACTATAAAGTCTATAGTGTTCTAGGCTATCCATATTCCATAGTTTTTCACAACACCTTTTTTATTTTTTGGTTACACACTGACTTCAAATCAACACTTATCTAAACCCAAACTTAGATTAGAAGTCAACTATTATTTCAATATTAATTATTTACTATTGAGGAAAAAAATTAACCAATAAAGATGACAATCCAAAAACATCCCCATGGACCATGGCCACAAGTTTCTTTTTGAGAGAGGAAAAAAAAATTATTTTCTTCTTATAAAAAATGTACATAATTACTTCGTGGATACACAAACTTGGTTTTACAGATAAAGGGAAGAACAAAAAATCAGAATGTAATGAATGAGTTAACCAACATGGCTTTTAAGTTAGCTAAAAAGCATCCAAATTCAGATGAAAACTCACATTCCATGCATCTACACCTCTTGGGCCTACCACATTTCTTACAAGCCCACAAATCTACAAAACTAAATAACCCAAAAAGAAAAAATCTACATATAAATGTTTTTTAAAAAAAATGTTTATATTGATATAGCTAACACTTCAATTCTCTTTTGGCCTTGTTTTTATTTTATTTTAATCATTAAGGTCCCACTCACTCACTCACTCACATTAGAGAAAAAGATCATCATGATTCATGAGAGAGAGAGAAAGAGAAGAGAAGGTGCATGTGCAGGTGGTCAACAAGTACAAGAGAAGCACCTGATTAGGCCACTCTCGTTGCACGCCGCACACGTCCTGAACCCACCTTTCTCCGCGTACACCTTGCGCGCACCGGAACACTCCCCGCACAGCACGAACCTGTGATCGTCGCACACGTGGCACGCGCGCAGGTGCGAATCCGCTGCGGGCAGACCCTCCAGCATCTTCCTGAGCTCGCCGCTCTCGTGCAGCCACCTCACCTCCTCGGCCCCGCCCACGTGCCTCCCGTTGATGAAGACACGTGGCAGGCTCAACCCGGTTTTGCGACCCGCGACCCGACGGAGCTCCGCGAGAAACCCCGAGTCCATGGACACGTCGCGCTCGTCCAGCGCGACCCGGAACCCGCGCAGGATGGAACGCACCGTTTTGCAGTCCTCGAACGTGCCGCGGACCACGCGCAGGCTCGTGAAATACACCACCACGCGCTGCTCCGAGCGCGGAGGGTGCGGTTGGGCGGCGCGTGGGGGTTCTTCGGCGGCGCGTGGGGCGAGTTTGGGGTGAGTCGACCAGGCTCGGAGGAGCGAGTTGGCGAGTGTGACTCGGTGGAAGATAGAGGGTTTGGGTTTGGTGGGTGTGGTGGTGGTGGGTTCATCTAAGAAGAGGGCTTGGATGTCTTTGAAGGAAGAACATGAGAAGTTAGATGAAGGTCGTTTGTTCCGAGGTTGCCACATTGAAAGTGGGAACTAAAATAGAACAAAGGTCTTTTTTTTATTTTTTTATTTGGGGGTTTGAAGGAGAAAGGTGGGGTTTTTGGGAGGAAGAAAGAAGTGGGGGTGTTGGATTTTGTTTTGTTTCTGTTGTTTGGGATAAAGGGTAAGATTTAGTTGTTGAAAGTTTGGATTTTGGTGATTGGAGATGGAGGAGTGGGAGATTTTGGACTGTGTTGTTTGTGAGAGAGGTAGTGAAAGAGGAAATAGTGTAAAATTGGGGGAAGGGAAGAGTGAAGAGGGAGATTATGGTGGTGGTGGTTAAGGTAGTTGAGGGGTTGGTTTATTTTGCTTTTAGGGGGGTTTTAAGAGGGAAAAGGGGATGGATCGGGAGAGATTGAATTGAAATGCCCTTATAAAATTTTGGATATATTATGGTGGGTATTCTCTATTTGTGAGATTTCCAAAAAAAAAAAAAAAATACCTAACTACAACCAGCACCAGATGCAGATGCAGTGGAGTCTTTGTCAACTTCATAAGTACACACGTATTAGTTTATCACCATTTTCTTTTTGAGGACTCTAGATTATTAGTAACCTCAGTTCAATACTTGTAGGATGGTTTATCAACCTATTGGTTAAGGATTGGATTTAACTCTTAAATTTCTTTTATGGATGAAGGTTTGAGTATTCATGATTTGATTACGATGTTTTAAAATGTGAAAGGATAATATGGACCTAAATAGAATGAGAGAATGACAAAAGAGTAACTGGTGAAGATTATAAAAACAAAGTGGCAATAAAAAAAATAATTGCGGCAGAGTCAAGTGAAATTGGTCATGAATGGCTGAAGGAGAGTGATGTGTTTTAAGCTAGAAAGGGCTTTGGCCATTAATTGCAGAGATCAACATTTGCTTGCACCATCCTCTCTACCAGCAGACACTGGCAGCACAACCAACTCCAATTAGGACATCTTCATGCTCCCTTCTTTTTACTATTGCAAGTTCGAAGAGGATAAAATAAATTAAAAAATAAGTGCGTATCTAATAGAATACATAACATAATGTAATAAATTTATGGTCTTTCTTGTTTCGATTTAAATAATAATTTTGAATTTAAATCTTATATATATTATTTTTAATTATGTTTATATTATTAGTATGAAATATTTATTAACTTTTTAATGATTAATATCTGTCTAAATATTCGATTGATCATTTTTAATAAAATTTTTCTTTTTGACTGTGTTTTTAATTTACAAACTTGAAACATTATTTAAAAGATTAAATTTAGTTATATTCATGCCAATGACCATTTTCAAACAATAATTTTATTCAATTTGAAAGAAGATTATTTTTTCTAAAGAATATTTGTACTTGCTAATAAAATAACATTGTGTAAAAGGGCAAGATAATTGTTCATGTGAGCACTTGGGCCACACAGAGAATTATAACCAGATGAAGGAGCGAGGCATGCTTGAAAAGTACACCACCAATGGGTTCCAAAAGCTAAAGGCTTTAATCAGCCAACACCAACTTTTCAGTTTCACATGGTAGCATAGGAGAGTAAGAAAAAGTGGAAGGGTCCTAGATCATGGTTAACACTCTCAAGACTTAAGTCCAACACACATGCCATGTGGTCACTTTTTTTACATAACAATCTAGATACCCCTTTATTTTGTTTCACTCATGTGAACTAAGATTGGTTTTTTTTCTTTTCTTTTTCTTGATTTGGGTGCAGCATTCCTTTCCATCACGCATTGACTGCAGAGGCACCCCTATGTTTTGACATTTAAAAAAACATTTCACACTCACTACCAGATTGGTACTCAGAACCTTGAGAAAATCTGTCTCGCACTGTTGTATTGGCATTGACTACACCCTGGTTTGGTGTTGGGATCACAGCCTGGCTGCAACTGCAAGTAGAATTTATAGGATTCCATCGCATCATTTTTTTAATGACTAAAAACATCTTGATCATCATGATGTTATTCTGAATGGTACTGCATGAACTTAATTTTGTTAAGTCTTTACATGAAAAAAATATGATTAGAAAAAATATATTACTAAAATTGGTTAAGTAAATCTTTTATTAAAGACTAGCGAGACCGAGACACTTCATGTCTTTATATGTATATTATCTTAAAATTTAAAATAACTCATTTATAGAATAGATTCATTTGTTGACATATAATCATATAAATAATTTTATACAATATGATGTTTTACGATCATAAATTTTCCTTAATAGGAAAACTAAATAAGGATTCCACCTCAGGATGATTTTTAACTTCCCTGCAATTTATGATAGAAATTAAATTTCATTCTGCTATTATTTTTAGTTAACATTAACATGAACTAAAACATATATCAAAATTAATAAATAATTAAATTGAATAATATCATACCTTTCAAGAATAAATTTCAACTTTTTATAGAATACATCATCCATAATTTCTTTGACTTTAATAAACTACAAAAATAAATAATACAATGTCAAGTATCAATATGAGATATTTAACATTTCATGTAAATTTATATAGTTTATGAATGAAATAACCATAACCTCAAAAATGGAGATATTTTATTTTGCATGAAAGTTGTTAATATATGGCAGGTATTAATCGATCTTGCGTTTTCAAGTGTCCTAATATTGTGAAAAATATGAATTAGAATTGATTTAAATGAAGAAATATTACAACTATATATTTATATGTATCACAAAGAAAAAGGAAGGGAAATAGCATATGAATTAATTGACATTGTAATAATCACCCACACTCAACGATAGAATGAAACACCAACAAATTTGCCTCAAACAACTCTAACCTCTCGTTTGCACTCTCAAGTAATAATTTACAAAGCATGCAAACTCATTATAATTTCATGGATTGAAAATATTTCCCTTAAAATTACAAAATCATTTCAACAAAATTATATTACAAAATTATTTCAACAAAATTATAAAAATATAAGACTACTCCACAGACCCGTGTTTTATAGCATTCACTTTAGTATTCCGATGTGTAAAAAATGAACATGGTCCTCACTTACTCTTGTTTTGATGGTGTTGAAGCCATAAACTTCTGTAGCATCAAACTGTATTACATGTCCATGTTGAATACCACCATGCATGTAGGAAAAGAAGAGAGGATATAATTGTGTTAGTGAAGATTTAACCCTTGTCATGACAACCTAAAAAGTACCCATAATTATTATATCTGAAATAAATAGTATTATCGAAAATGTAAGAGATAGAGAAAAAGAATGTGAAGTGAAATAAATAGCAATTCGATTAGCAGGAACATGGAGAGGTTGGGAGCCTTATATCTAAGATTTAATTCGAATGAAAATGGAAAGTACTACTACTGTAATGAATTGGAATGCATATTCGATTCGCCATTAACACTTTGATTTTGAAATGCAAGGGTTGCTTTGCTCCATTCTCTTTCAACTGTTAATAATTTTTCTGTTTTAAATTATGTCTTATTTTTATTGTAAAAACCAACAAAACTGTAAAACTGGATGACCATCAATAACAGTTACATGGAAGTTATTTTTTAATAAAGTGGAGACAAAAACCTTTGTATTTCTTTTATCTTTAGTTAAGTTATAAATAAGTTTAAATTGATTTTTTTTAAATGAGTAAAAATGATTTAGATTAAAAAATGACTAAACGTAATAATTTATTGTAGATTTTTTTATAAATTTTATTTTGGAAAAAAAACTGAAAAGAAATTGAGTTTCCAAATAAAATATTAAAAATAACATAAATATACGTATAGAGGCACGAAGTGCCTCGGTCCCGCTAGTTATATATAGAGACTAAAATAATTGATTGTATTATTAAGGATAAAAAGATCATAAATAAAAGTGGAGACCAAATGATATTCAACTACACATGTATAAGAAAGATATCATTATGACTATACAACATACATATAATAACACACAAAATCTCCAAATTATCCATTCTTAATTGATGTTTTTATTAATTTAACTCAATATTAATTCTGGTTTTGAATATAAGTAAAAAAAAATTACTAATGTTTATTAGTATCAAATATAAACAAATTTAAACTAAATTTACTTATTTAATATTAATATCATCATAATATTTTTTTATTTAATTGAAATTTTATTTTTAATAATAATCTTTATCCTATCAAATTTCAACAACGAGCAATTTAAGAAATAAGATTATTTTTAAATAAAATTGTTACAATTAAATGATATTAACTAATTTTTTGATTAGTATAAATTATTAGTTTATTACTTATATTTTAAATCGAACAAAAGAGCCTAATAGACCCATTCAAAAAAAGCTTATATTTGCAGTGTTTTGAATTGATGTTAAGATTTATTTTGTTGCAGGTTTAATGGTCGGAGGCAAGTTAGATGTGACCGCTATGCTCGCTCAGAGGGCGAAGGAGGCGAAGGCTAGCGGGAAGGTTCCGCCGGCGAGGTCGGCTTTGAAGAATCCGCGGGATAAGCCCGCCCACGTGATGATACCCTTGGCCGATGCTAGGAAGAAGGGCAGTACTTCACGGGTGAGGGCTGCCGAGCACAACATAGAGCCGGAGCGTCCGAGCTCTTCTTCCAAGCGCCCGAAGCAGTTATCGCTGGAGCAATCGGGTTGCGGCAACTTCGCCATCTCAGCAGTCATCGCCGGCTCGAACTTCCTTGCTCCCAATGTACAGACTGAGAACTTGGTCGGTCTGGACCTTGCTACTGGGGGCGGGCTGCAATATTTGGAGGGCATGTCTGCCGAGGCCGCGTATAAGCTTTTCTGTGAGCTTGATACTCGGACCTCCCTTGTTGCCAAACACGTCATGAATAGGCATGCCGTTTCGGAGGAGAGGGTCTATGGCCGACTCAAGGAAGCCGAGGCCACAGTGAAGGAGGCGTTGGCTATGAACGCCAAGTTATCTGAGTCGGTTGAAGAACTGAAGAGGGCTGCCGACACCCACAGAAGGGAGGCCGACGACCTGAAGTTGCTTGTGCAAAGAATGAAGGTCAATGTCGCCGCGTCGGCTAACGAGATCGCTCGGTTGAAGGAGACTGCCGCCAAGTTTGAGGCTGAAGCAACCGAGCAAATCCTTTCCCAACATGATGTCGGCTTCCAACATGCGGTCAAGCAAGCATTCCACTTTTGCGAGGTCCCGGCTGACTTTCAGTTTGATGTTAGCCGAGACTTCCTGGGTAGTAAGTTTATGAGTTATGTTGAGTTCCCTCAAGGGGCCCAGCCCGACGCCGAGGCCCCTCGTCAAGGCATTTCCACTCGAGCACCCGTTGAGCCGACCGAAGAGGAGGATCAGGTTGTTGATGTGGTCGGTGATGGGAATCCTGAGGACCTGGCGGCAGTATAGGGGTTGACTTGGGTAGTGTTAGGTTAATTAGGACTGTTTTCTGCTTTTTGTAATCGGGCCGTCAGCGCCTTTTTTGATTTGGCTGTCGGTGCCGATGGACAGTTGATTTTTTTGTAAGTAGTCGCTCTGGTCGGCCATACTTTTTCAATGATATTTTGCTTTATAATTTTTCGATGTTTATAAGTGCCTAGCAATGTAGACATAGACCGACTTGTATGTATGGTCGAGAGGGTGATCTTCGCGATTTATGTTGATGATT